ATAGATAGATAGATAGAATGGGCAAGCAATGCGTGCCTCGATTAGAGTGTACCAGGCGGTTCCATAGTCACTGCGTACGACCAACATCTCGCGTGCTGACGTACTATACTGCATACCAGGTGTCATAGTGTACTCGAGTGTGTAGCACATAAAGAATGTCGTCAATTAACGTTATCGCAGGTACATCGAATAACGGTGTATCAACTACAATCGCTAGCCTTGGTTTGTTTGGAGGCTTCCCAAGCCCGCTTCGTTGTGGATATCACTCGGAATTTGCTCCCGAACGGCGGCCCACTGCATGTTGGGCAAGTCCTGGACGGCCGTGTCGTCGCCCGACGTCGTGGTGGAAGGCGCCGCGTCGAAGGGGGCAACATCATTGTTCGCGAGCGTCATGGCCGAGAGCGCAAGCACCACCGAGATGTGAAGGCCCATATTCGTTTCGTGTCAAATTGAAAAATGAAATCCGAACAAAGATAAAAAGCGTTTGCGCGTGGTTCAGTGCTGGCCTTTTTCTCGCCACTCCGACCAGAATATCTCGCGTCGTTCTACCGGTACGGTGCTGGGCAAAAGACACGGGTGAGGGCCTGTGCCGATGGATACGCACCCTTTTCCGTCTCTGCCGACAGCTCAACGATCGACGCATACAGTGCAGATTCGTCTGAAAGCATTACCGATTGTATTTCTAACCAGCCCTATCGATGGTAGGTTCTGTGGATGATGGGTGTTGAGGGCACAGACACGAGCGCGACGCGCATGGATGACCAGATTGTCCACGTTAGCGACGGCCGCACGCATATCTTGCCATCGCAAAAAGAGTCCAATGGCTTGTTGACGCGGCCTCGTGCGTGTGGCCATGTTGGCGCGAACCTGTCGCAACGAGGTCTCTTCTCAACGACGATGCTATTATCTGCTCTGGCTGGTTGGGATCCAAACCGTCAGAATTTTGTACAGTACTAGGTCGGCGTTATGGGGCGTTCGATCAACTAAACGATGCTAGACCGCGACGTCGGGCACAAGTGCTCATGGATTTGATTGACGAACCGTTACATGTCAGTTACGTGATAGGTTAATGGGATCACGTGATCCGATGTGCTGGCAGCACGAGCGGGCAGAAACCAGTTTGGCCTCCTGCCCAACACGGGCACTCATACAGGGATTGCTGAACTGCACGCAAATCCGTGCTCGACCATCGAAACGGGTTGCAGGAGGAGGATACAAAGGTACAACCTTACGGGTTGCGTGTGTGTCTTTCGGACACTGCATTATCGTGAATATTTCATAACCATAAAGTTAGCTACGGTGCTCGTCTAGATGGCCTTTGCGTAGTGCATCTGATCCGCATGAGATACCATTCCTCCGACGCAACGTATTACGCTTCCGACTCTTTGGATGTGGCGTTGACGTGCACGGTCCAATCTCTTCGCGCGAGGCCCCACCCGAGCAGCACGATCTTGATGATTTCGCTGAGAGCATTTGCGCCCCAGTACCCGCGCAGGGCGCCGTGCCAATGCACAACACTCAATTGCGTGAGCGGGATAAAGACTAGCCACGCACCGACGTTGTTGGCAAACAGTGCGTAGCGCTCGAGGCCGACAGCGTTCGCACTCGAGCTCAAGAGGAAGCGGAAAAATAGACTACCCACACCAACTGAGAATGGTACGAACGCCCCCACGCAGTGGTGCAACACGGCGTGGTCCGAAGTCCAGAGACCAAACACAATTCTTTGGATCACGGCGAGGCAGCTCATGAGCAGCGCTGCCATAAGCGCCATGAGAAGGACGCCAAGCATGAGGTATGTCTTGGCGGCCGGCATGTTGCCAGCGCCAATGCTACGCGACAAGTATATCTGCGTTGCGGCCGAGAAGCCACTGGCGCAGGCGTACATGACACCAAAGAGCCCCAAGAGAACCGCGTTGGCAGCTGAATACGAAGGCGCGAGTATGCTAAGGGACGAGCCTGCGATTGTCAAGCTCGCCCAGTCGACAAGCGACGACGCGGCCATGGGCAAGAGCAGCGCCAAAAACGTTGCAATTTGGTCGGTGCGGAACGCAGCACGGGTCCATCCGTTCCAATATGGAACATGGTATTGTTTCCAACCGATCGTGTAGGTCGCGAAGAGGGCGAGTTGGACGCACGAGCTCAAAGCTGAGGCCAGCGGCGAGCCGATAAAGCCCAAACCCGACCAATAGCCATCGATGCCGTAGATAAGAACTTGGTTGAGCGCCACATTGAGTGTGATCGCAACGAGGCTCGTGATCGTCGCTGGCTGGACGACATCAATGGTGGCGAAGTACGCTGTGAGGCACGCGTAGAGATACCGTGGGAGCAAACCGATGGCAATGGTGAAGCCATACTGCTGCGCAAAGGCGATCGTGGCTTGGTCGTGCATCGTCATGCCGACGAGGTCGCCGACAAAGAGGTGCAAAAGCCCGACGGGGACGCAGGCCACGAGCGCAAAGAGCAGCGACGTCTGCAGCCACAGACCAATCTGGTCAAACTCGCCCGCACCGCGCGCGGTGCTCGCCAGAATGGTCAGCGTATACTGGACCGAGTTGAACGGGACGTTGATCCAGAGGTTGGCGAGGGCCGCACCCGCGAGCTCTTTTGTGCCGAGGTGGCCAAGGAACGCGGTGTCGGTCACGAGGAAGACGCGGCGGACCATTTGGTTGATCGAGAGCTGGATGGCCATGGAGAGGAGCGACTGAAGCTGTTGACGCCGGTACATCGTGGGAGGCGCCAACGTGTCGACGTCGGTCGCCTTTATCGCCGCCTCGTTCGGAAGGAGGCTCGAGGCTTCGTGTTGAGTACGCACCTCCATTGGTGCGGTCATTGTACTTGAATGTGACCGGGCGGTTGATCGCGTACGAGTATGTCGGGGGTTTCACATGTGGAAAGGGCGCGGGCAACCACTTTGAAGGCTGCGAAACCGCTTTACATTCTTTAAATCGCCTGCGCTCTCACCCTTGTTTGCGACCACGATATCGACATGCTCAGTTATGCGACGCACGCACTCACGCCGTAAGAACTGGATTCGACGCCGCGCATCAGCCTTTATGCGAGGTCACTGCCTTTGGCCTCCATTCACGCACTGATCATGGCGTTGTTCTTGATTTTCTATCTCTCCAAGATTCGGACAAGTAAAGTTTCTTCCATATGAAATTCCTTGCCGTTTCATGCGCGATCGCCATGTATACGTGTTTTGCGCGCGTACATTTCAATCTCGAAACATCCCTTTCACCTATCGACCTGCTCTTCTTCTCTACTTTGCTTTCATTAGGCATTGCAGCGACTGAGACACCGATCTTTGGTCTCTGGACCTCGGACCCTGCGGTCCTCGACCTCTGCGCAGGCGCAATCATCCCGTTCTCGATCTGCATTGGCCTCATCTTCTTTCGGTTTCTTTTGAGCTCGAGTGCCAACGCGGTGCAGCTCTCTCGGTACGCGCTGCTCGTCAACAATGCCGGCGCGTGGCTCGTCTACATTCCGCTCTCGTACGTCTGCGTGGTGCACTTGGGCTGGGCGCTCCATGGCTACTGGATGGCTAATGCGCTCGGTGAACTCGTCAAGATCGTCCTCCTCGTGTGGCGCCTCGCGCGCAAGGACTGGACCGTTACAACGCGGACAGTTGTTGCCGGCCTCCAGCGCATGGAGTCGGCGCTTTAGAGTCGTAATTCAATTGATTTTCATGTCTCTATCGAGAAGCGTTCTTGTCCTTGGTATTCGATCATCCCACAGGCTTGGACAAGCAAATAACGACAAGCTAATAAGGACATCACCGATCGCGTGCCGCTCGTGCTGCCAGCACATTTGTCCGGATACGTTTCCGGACGCCAGCTGCACCGAACCACAACCCACAACATGTGGGCCGTGGCCGTGCACATTGGCGCCGGCCGACATGCAGCCGACGCAGCTTCCACGGCGCTCGCCGAGGCCAGCATGCGCGACGCTCTCGAGTTGGCCGGATGTCTCCTGCGAGATGGTGCATCAGCGACGGTCGCCGCAACCGCTGCGGTCCGCGTCCTCGAAGACGCCGCCTGCACCAACGCCGGCAGCAACGGGCCGTGCGTCAACCTCACCGAGACGGGCGTCATCGAGACCGACGCTTCGATCGTCGACGGTCATAGCGGAGGCATTGGCTGCGTCGGTGCTGTCCACGGTGTGCGCAACCCGATCGAGCTCGCGGCCGCACTGCTGCGCGGCGCTGACACGAGTCGCGACGATGGTCGCACCCCGCCCATGGTGCTCGTGGGTGCCGGCGCCGTAGAGAAGGCGCGCGCACTGGATGTAGAGTTCGTCGACTACGCAACAACACCAATCGACGCAACTGCCCTGCGCAAGCACGCATTGATGCAAAGCCACAGTTTGGACACGGTCGGCGCCGTCGTTGTCGACGTTCATGGACACATGGCGGCGGCCGCCTCCAGCGCTGGCATCGCGCTCAAGGCGCCAGGTCGCGTTGGTCCCGCGGGCTGCCCTCGCATGGGCTGCGTCGCCTGGAACGCTACACAGTCACCGAACGGCTACGCGTGGGCCGCCACTGGTACATACGCGTCCTTTTCACAAGTCTCTCCTTTCTCACAATGCACATGTCTAGGGCGAGGCGAAGAGATCATGCGCACGGGACTTCTTCAGCAATTGGAAGGCCGCTTTCGCCGCAAGACGGCGCTGGACGCTGCTACCATCGACCACAATCTAACGTACGAACGTACTTGTCGATGATGATTATGTGGCACGACGTGACTATGATGCATTAGGCGGGCCTTCAACGACGCCGCCGCGCTCAACCATGATGTTGGCGTCGAAGGTGGTGTCCTTGGCCTTCTACGAGCACCGTCCACGAGCCATGGCTCGTCCCGTAAGCGGCGGCGAGAGGAGGCATCGTCCAGCAAATCAAAAGTTGCTGCACGGTTACCGGCGACGCATGTTGTGGCTGCGTTCACGACGCCAAGCATGGGCCTTGGTGTCTACTGCAGTGACGACAGCGCGCCGCGGGTACGGTCGACTACATCCACCGAGCACCAAGTTGACACTTTGATATTTAGGCGCAAATCGTACGCAGCATGGAGAAGGACGTCCTTGTAGTCCACGTGTTGCCGTGCAACGAACAGGACCAAGCCGCGTTGGCACGACGGCCAACACTTCAATGTGTACAATCGACCGATATGACGAAAAATAGCTAGCGCATCTCGACCAACCACCCCAGCCTCAGTATATTCAGGCATGCGACTACACGTGATGTTGTCTTTGCGCAGTTGTCTTCTTGGTATTGCCGTACACTGGCCCCACGTTGCACTTGTCCGAGCGACTTGCAAGCGATGCCACGCGGTGTCTTGTGCTCGGCCAACAATGCAACATGAGCAAGCCGCTTTGTTTGAGAACACCCTTCTGAGCTATCGCTGCCGGTGGACACATGTGACTGGCCAAAGCTGCTGCCAGCCATGCAAGACCTTGGTGCAGTGCTGGGTGTCGAGCACAACGCGAGCAACATGTGCCATCTCTTCGCCAGTCTAGCGGGTTTTTCCCTCTCAATGTGGCACTCGTGTTTCGTCGGCAAGAGCTTCTTTTTGCGCCGGCGCTTGCCGAGTGGTCCACATGAACATGCATTGACGAGACCTCGCGACGTCGTCGTAACACTTTTGTACCATTGTCGCGACGTTGTTACGACATTGTTACGACGTTGTCGCGACGGTTGTCGCGACAGTCGTCGCGACGTTGTTGTTACGACGTTGCTGTAACATTGTTATGACGTTGTCGCGACGCTGTCGTGACGTTGTCGTGCAGATGATTGGCGGCGTTACCAAGCGCATGGACGAAGGCATGAAGGTCCGCGGCGAGACTCGACCGCACGAACAGACCCGTCGAGTGCTAGACCTCGCGACGTCGTCGTAACACTTTTGTACCATTGTCGCGACATTGTTACGACGTTGTCGCGACGGTTGTCGCGACGTTGTTGTTACGACGTTGCTGTAACATTGTTATGACGCTGTCGTGAAGATGTCGTGACGTTGTCGCGACATTGTCGAGCTGATGATTGGCGGCGTTACCAAGCGCATGGACGAAGGCATGAAGGTCCGCGGCGAGACTCGACCGCATGAACAGACCCGTCGAGTGTTGGTCAACGTCTGCATCGCGACCTCGTCGCGACGTTGTTTACCCGTGGAGCTACGCTGCATACCGAAGAAGATAAAATACAGGACATTTGATTACAATCATTATGACTAGCAAAGTACGAAAGTCGTTGTCCAAGGCGGACCTTACGAGCGCCCAGCCGTGCTTCTTCGACTGCTGGATGGTCAACGTGAAAGGAGGTGTGCCTTCGACCGCAAACACATTGGACGATCCAGCAGTCGAAATAGCGCGGCGGGGCGCTCGTGCTGTAAAGAGTCGGATCAAATCTTGCGGCGGCTCATGGGCTACCCACACATATATATTCGTGACGACGCACATCGAGGTTCATAGTTGAGATACCTGATTCGGAGTGTCGCCACCACCCCGGCCCGAAACGCGCCCAACGTCGTTGCCGGTACCAAGGCCAAATAACTATGGTCAATGTTGGTACCCAGCGGGGGAATCGCGACGGGTGGAGGCGTCTCGAACCCAACCTCGTCGATGGTTTGCAGCACCTATCGCAGTCGTACAAGAGTGCGCGTCGCCATGTTGCACGAGACGTACCCAGCCAACCGCGCCGCCACACGCGAGAATTTGGAGCCCCTTGACCGTCTTGAACGGCGTCAAGGGACCGATCGGGGGACAAGAGCCCGAGATGTTGTAAATCTACAAACGGTCGTTCATAATAGAGCCGCATGTTGCGTAGGCACGGGAGCACCTGCAGCGGGTTGAGCAGCTTGCGCAAATCATTCGCAATCTTGTCACCCATTTGGCCACCGCTTCCGCCGTTGATGAGCACTACGTAGCAACATAAAGACACCGCCCACTGGAGAAGCCCGTACCCAAGAGCGTCTTGGCCTTCCACTCGGACGGCAGCTCGATTTCGACGTCGAGGGCAGCTGGCGTGCTTGAGTACCTACGCCACGGACTATGGAGCAAAAAAGATGTATACCATCCTGGACGTACCGGTGCTTGATCAACAACCCTGCCGGCACGACGCCCATGGGCACGAAAACACGTCGGCCGCGGGTCGTCGGGGGCGTGACTTCCGCCTTGGGCTGCGGGATCCGCGCAAACTTGGCGGGCAGCTCGAGCTCGTGGCGCGGGCCCCAGTCGCACGTTGAGCCGGACAGGACGGCCGCCTGCTTGCACATGCAGTGGGCGGGCATGGAGCGAGCCGTCGCGCAGTGCGCATGCGCGTTGGCACCGCAGATCATGCAGACCACAAATGTTGTGGTCGTGCCACGAGAAGAGGTCTTGAAGCGGCCTTGAGCCTTCATGGCGCTCGTCGCCATGGCTTGCTTCTCGAAGGCCTTGCTCATCGTGGCGAGCGCGTCTTGGATGGCTTCGCGGTCTGTTGGAGCTGCGAGAGGCCTACAGCATCCATTCGCCCACATTTTCGTAGCTGCCGAATAATACATACGAGATTGCAGTGGGCTCGTCTTGCTCGGCTTTCTCCTTGGCGGCCGCAGGTTGCGTCCTTCCATTGGGCCGCGGCGCTGGCGCTCTATTCCAGGTGTGAGTTGTAGTACTGTAGTACATATAGAGATAGCACGTACGCGTTTGCGGTCGGTGCGGCCGGAGACGAAGCGGAAGGCCGCGAACGCTTCCTTCTTCATCTTGATGGTGGCCTTGCGCTTGAAGTGGCGCGAGGCGTCCGGACTCGCCATGGCGTTGTTCGGAACGGCCTCGAGCCGGAGGGCCTTGACGATCGATGGTCGCTCATCCTTTGCGCCGCATGCGCTTGCAGCGCTGGAGGATCCGCGAGCCGTTCTTCGCGTCCTTGTCGCGGTACTCATTGCCGTGAGGACTACTGGCAGCGCCCTGGCGAGTCGGCTTGGACTGCGCTGCCATGCGCAGGGTCTTCGTCATGGGGTTGGGGCTTGCCAAGGGACTTGCGATCGTCGTCGAAATTGCCGTATGACGCAAAGGCAAAACCTTCTCCGTTTAAAACAGCTGTATGTTTTTTAAGCTATATGTACGAATGTATAGCAATATTGTACAAAGTGGTTTGTATCAACTCTATTGGACAATGAATGCTTTACGTATCCAACAGCAGTAAAATACAGTGCTGTGTTGTGACCGAGGACAGAGAAGGTTGGACGACGAGCAGAGGTCCGGTACAGTGTCGAAGCATGATCCTAGCTTGACTACGGGCGAGCGGCTCTTTCCACTCGAAGTGGGGCGGCAAGAGGTGAGTGGCGACTGGAAAATCAACCAATCACACATCGCCTTGGGTCGCGATTTGACCAATCCCAACGCCGTGATGCAGAATGTCGGTCCCCATCACTTGAGGATCTGCCAAGACGACGACAGGCCATCATCATGCGTGCGACACAAACGGTAGACGTGACGACAGCAGCGTACGAAGCTGCGTTTGCTCTACTGCGCAAGTCGACAAACTACGTCCACCAGAGCAGCATCTCGCGCCACGTCGCGCCGCGGCTCGTCCTCGATGGCGTCGAAGGCTGCTTGTGCTGGCCATGGCCTCTGAGCCAAGACCAGGAGCTTGCTGCGCGATACGCCACAAGCTGCGTCGTGCCGGCATCCAGCGTTCGCATCCAAAACGACGAGGCGTGGGCGGCGGTCGTCGCCACGAGTCTTGTGCCCGCTATCCAGCAAACGCTCCGTGCCAATAAGGCACGGCGATCTTCTCGCACCTCTGCATCGACACGCCAGGCGCGTCAACCGGCCTCGCGCTACGACCGGAGCCCAACAACGCCTTTGGGACTCTCCTGGTAACGCTGCCGTCCGCGCCCGTCGGTGGCGCCATCACGATTGCCTATGGTGGCAGCACGATGGCGCCACCGGCACTTCCAATGGTCCAGGCAATCGCGACCTTCCGCGACGCGACGATCACTTCATCGCCCCTTACGTCTGGCCGCCAGCTGGTGCTTGTGTATGCGCTCGTTGCGCTCGATGCGACGCTGCGGCCGCCGCCCACCCGGCACGACGTTCTCACTGCGTGGACGGCGATCGCTGACGACCCGCCGCTCGAGAACACATCTTTGGACTCGATCTTGATGTGATGCCACCCTTGGCCTTTGATCGTCTCGGCAAGGTGGATTCGGCGTTGGTCGAGTGCCTTCTGACCACAGGCCGGTACGATGTCGCGCTCGCCGAGGTCCAATGCACCAAGAGTGATCACTATGTGATCAACACGGCCGCCGTACACCCCGCATGCAGCGTGCCCGAAGACGTCGCCGCCTCCCTCCCCAAGAAGCTCGTCCATGCGTTTCGTAGTCTCCATCGGGGCAGAGCACGCATTGAATCTGCTGCGATCGTGTTTTGGCTCAAGCCGTACCGCGCAAGCCTTCTCGGGCTCGATTCGGCGCTTTGTGTCGCGCAGGACGACGTCTCGCGCCTCGACCTGAGCGCCCGCGAGCTGTGCTTTGGTCTCATGGCAACGGTGGTCAACCACGTCGCTTTCAGAATCAAATTTCAATCGCATCATATACGGGCTCTGACGAGCCTCTTGGTGGCGAGCCGCGACGTTCTCCTCGCAGCCCGCTTCGTCCGCGATGTGCTCATCCTCGTCGAAACCGTGCTCGAAGAAGTCGACCTCGTGAGCCTTCACGCGCTCCTGGACGCGTTTGGCTGGATAACGCTGTGCCCGGCGTTCGAGAGCTTTTGCCAGCGCTGGATCGAGGCCCGCGGCTGCCAAGTCCTTCCATCCTTGCTCACGAGCCTGGCCGGTCTTGTCCGTGGCGACGACGCCGTGTGTTCGCCCTTGCGGCAGCCGTTTGTGGGCGAATTTGTCAAGCGGGTTTGAGACACGCTGCTCATGGACAAGTGTGTGGAGCCGTGCACCGACTCGATGCAGCACTGGGTGCTTCTGGACTGGTATCTCGACGAAGTCGCGCCGCAGCGCGCGGATGGCTGCTGGTTTGGCGCGCGACTACCGCCCTCGCTCACGTTGGCCATCGACAGCTACGTCTATATACGCCGGTTTCGCGCCGTGCTCTCGGGTGTCGACATGTGTGCTCATGCCGTGCTTCGAAGCCTTCCGACGGCGCTCGTGCGTATCGTGGCGAGCCACCCGACGCTGCGACGACAGCAGTATCTGGACATGATCAATGCGGCCATCGCCGAGATCGGACACATGAAGGACAACACTTTCGTCAAGAGCAACGGGTTCTTGTCGTCGGACGACCAGTGGCACACGCTGGACGCGATGCACACGTTGGGTCGATTCAGCACATTGCTGCTCGAAGCGTGCCAACGCTTTGGTCGTCGCAAAGACTCTGTCCATGCGATCGTGCGGATGGTGCGTCGCCCGACAGTGCCCCTCGCAGCGCCTGTCCACTTGATTCTCGCCACGTCGCTTTTGGCCGCTGCAAAAACGCTGCTCTACACGAACGCAGACGCCGACACGTACCCACGTTGTGTTGCCGACGTCATCGAAGGACTCTCGATCGCAGCACCGCGCGAGGTGCGGGCGGTCGCCGACCGTTGGCTCGCAACATTGCCCACAACGCTGCACCACGCCCGGTCGGTGCTCTGCCCGGTCATCCTGCTCTTGTCTACGTCACAGTGCCGCGACCGAGCCATTGTTGTGGCCATTGCAACGCGCTGCCGGGTCATCTTTCTCGAAAGCGGGGCGCTCGCACCGGTGCCGGCGTTGACCGATTACGTGTTCAACGACATGGCCGTGGCCGGCGACCACTGCGCGCAGTGTGCCGCGTTTGCAGCGTTTTTGGTCGACGGCCGCCGCACGTCGTTTTCATTTGCGGGGGAACCTCTCTGCGACGCACTGAGTGCACTCATTGATGCAAATGAAGACAGTTTTTCGTGCCCGACGCCGAGCCGGACGTGGACGGGCTCACGGCGGTCGACGGCGTCAGCTACGGGACCTTTACGCTGCTCGTGTTCGAGGACATTGCATCGCATGCAGCCCGACACCACATCGTTGCAAAGCGGAGTCGCGCCACCGCACACCAAGTGGAGGTCCACGATCGCCGTCTCAAGCAGTACGAAGACGATATGCAGCGTGTTGCGATGCTCGATGCGCTGCTCGCGACCAGTGTCGACACCATGGAGCCATTTCCCAAGCGCCATCGGGTCGAGGCCTCGTAGTCGTACTAGTATGTCCGTAACATCAGGCGTGTATATTTCTCTGCACACTCTATATTCTCTTCTAGTAGAGACTAGGAGTCTCAGGCCTCGGACGACGGCAAAAGCGCTTTAGCTTCCGGCTCGTCGCCACTCGTCGCATCTTCGAGCTGGCGCGGGAGCAAGCACAGAAAGGCGAGGATCGCAACTTGAAAGATCGCGCCGAGCACGAGCAGCAGCCAGAGGTTGCTATAGTCGATGGCGAATGTGATAGGATTTTGCGTGATCCCGAGAGCCGACACCAAGAGCGCAGAGAAGAACGCGCTCACGACACCGCCAAAGTCCATGAACGAGAGGTACAGCGCGTACGTGAGTCCGTGGAGCTCCTTCTTGCGCGGGCAAAAGGTCGTGGCGACCACGAGCAGCTGGAGGAGTGCAAACTCCCCAGCGAACGCCGTCACAAACGACTCGAGCGCGCAAAAGGTGCAGACATCCACGGGCAGCGTCGCGACGTCCATGGGCGGCGCCAAGAGCAATTGTGGGAGGCTTGCAAGTGTCATGAGCACGGTCGAAACGCCAAAGACAGTGCGGATGCCGACACCGCGCGTGCAGCGGGCGTAGATCGCACACGAGACGACGCGGCCGACCATGCCAGCGAGCGACGAATATTGGAGGCACTGCAGCTCGTTTTTCAGCAAAAAGTACGTGTACTGGTACCAGACAGTCCCGCCACTCGGCAGCGCCGAGCAAAGGAAGAAGAAGACCATGACCGGAATGTACGCGGCTTGTTCGTGGAGCATGCGGGCAACCGTTGTTTGCAGCGCGTGCCACTTGGTCGACAGTAATTCGGCCAATGATGACGGGTGGTGCGTCGGCGTCGCCACGCGCTTGGCCGATTTGTTTTCATGCAAGAGATAGAGTGCAATGAGAATACCAAGCAGCGGAATCACCGACGACCATGTAATGACCGTGGTCGCGGGCAGGTCCTTGATGGCGTAGACCGGGATACCCGCGAGGAGCGCGACGATCGACGCGCCGTTCTTGGCCGCGTTGGCCCACGACTGCACGTTGCTGCTCTTCTCGCGGTCGCCGGACGCGACGTCGACAAGGACGATGCCGAGCATCATCTGCGTAAAGGCCTCGCAGGCCGAGTCGAGAAACTTGACGACGAACGCGCCAGTGACGCTGCGCACGCAGAGACCCGTGAGGAGGATGCAGGCGCACGAAACGATCTCGCAGAGGACAATGTACGACTTGCGGTGGTACCCAAAGAGCGGCACGTTGTCCGAGAGGAGCGCGTAGAGCGGTTTGAGGTTCCATGGGAAAAACGTCAGCGCGTAGTAAAAGCTTGTGGTCGCCGGCGACATGTGGATCGTGTCCGAGACCCACGAGATGTAGGCCGTCATCGGGAAGCTGAGGCTAAACGCCTGGATGAAGTAGAGGCTCAAGAGGCCCATCGGCAGCAGCGACGCGTCCGCAAGCAGCCCCATGCGTCCCAAGAATGAACTCTGCGGAAAACAGGCGCCATCCGGATACGCTGCCACTCACGTGCCTGCGCGGCGTTTGATTGGCTACTGCTTGGCTCTACGATGATCGTTGAAGTTGCCGTTGGCGCCAGCATCCAAGCGATGGACCGCCGCCGTCGCCGCCTTCGGGATCGCATGGCGAGGTCATGACCCTGGACATTTAGTAGGTGAGCTCCTCCCACGACCGTGCAATATACGCATACCTTTCTTCGGTACGAGGGCAAGAGTGGCGTGTTGACCGTCGAGCATATGGCAGCCTCTTTTGCTGCAAGTGCAATCAACTGCTGGCAACCATGGCTGGCAACGTACGTGCACGCCACGCACGCTGTCCTTGAGTGCAACTCGCTTGCCAAGGCTTTGCGGGATATAGTGTCGGGAGTGGCTAACACGCTGATGAGGTACAAGCATCGTTGTGGCTCAGCAGCGCTACAACTTTGTCTCTGTGTGCGTGGCGATCCCTGGCCTATCGCGTCTACTGGTCTACTGTTGCCTTCGACTTTCACAAGCCCTTATAACGAGTCGTTGTAGTTTTGGTGTGCGTGATGCATCATTGCCGTGCGCGTCATCGCATGGAGGCCACGTCGTACTCGGACGCTATCCTGCACGGTTGTGTTCTGTTGCACCGACGCTTCCGGTGCAGTCTCGGCAACTCGATAGGACCTTGCTGTCGACCGTCGTTGAAAGCGATAATAGCATATGTCTCTAGTTTGCATACAATCGTCGGCTATAATCGCGTTGCGAGCAAACACTCGAATCTACTTGGCCAGGACAAAGTTGGTGCCGTACCCGCGCTCGAACGCGAGCACGTGCAGATCTTTCGTGGCGTCGATGGCGCGGAACCCTTGCTCCCAGTCCCACTCGTACGCCTTGCCATCGTCTAGCACCCATGGCGTCGTATCCGCAGGTACAAGCAAGAGGCGGTTTACCTGTGACGAGCGACGTCGAGTGCACACCGCCGCCGAGGTGCTGAATGCGCCGACCGCGCAAGAAGCTGTTGTCGATCGCATGCGGTGCAATGTGCGTCTCGGGGTACTTGCGCTGGGCGACTTCAGCGTGCTGGCTGGCTTGGCTGCGGCCCATGCACCACAGCTGCCCGTCCTCTACACTTCATGAGCCTCGCCAGCAAATATGAGTAAGCGACGTACCAGTCACCATGAACGAATGAAAGAAGCTCGTCTTGATGTGCGTCACGGGCGCGGCTGTTTGCACGAGGCGGGGCGTGACCTGGTCTTCACCGGTCTTGCGGCCGTACTTGTCGGCGCCCAGGAGCTTGCCCCAGACAAAGACCTCGCCCGCGTCTAATCGATGGCTCTCCTCGTTGTACGATCCCACAAAGTAGAGTCGACGGTACCGGTGAGCGCCACCGAGTGGTTGAAGCCGGCGCCGACCTGCACCACGTTCTTCTCACGAAGCGCAACAATATGTTGGGGCGCGCTGACGTTGACCGTGCCACTACAGATGGAGGTAGCATCAGGCAAGACGATCTTGTCCATGCAGTCGGTACAAGCCGAGCTGGCCGCGCTCGCCCTTGCCCCAGCCGTAGACTTGGCCATTCGTCGTGACGGCGAGCGCATGCTGGAAGCCGGCCGCCATCGTCGCGACCGGCGGCAGCTTGATCTTCGTGGGCTCCCACACGCTCGTGTTCTCGTTGCCAATGCCGCACTGGCCGTACGAGTTGCCGCCGTTGCTGTAGAGGTCGCCTGTCTCGGTCAAGTACAAACTCAGCGCTGCGCCGCACGAGATGGCCGTCGCCTTGGCAGGCAAGTCGATGAGCGTCGGGCGAAAGGCCTCGACCGTGCGCTCGCCGCCGACCGTGTTGACAAACTTCATAAAGTACGGCACCATGCGCTGCATGTTGATCGAGCGAATGACGTTGCGAAAGTGGTGCGACCGGCCAAAGACGTACGCGTTGCCGTCGACGTCGAGAAGGCCCGTGTGCGCCCTACGCCGCGACCGCGTTGATACAAGGTGCGAGGCCACAAGAGGTGCTACCAGCCGCACGAGAGCGACGCGATCTCGACATTGTCGAACGGCGCGATCGGCGTCGGCGCGGCCACCGCGTCAAAGTTGTCTTGGCCGAGCGTCCCGAGGTAGCCGTCGCCATACGAGTACACGCGTGGGGTCACGCGGGTCGAGCTGAGGCCGCGCGCGCCTACGTCAACGCTGGCGTCAGAGGCGCGAGGCAGCAGAGGACGCACCGCTTGGCACGGCGCGGCGCAGCGCAGGAAGGACGCGAAGCATCTTGAACGCTTGCTGGAATGCGCCCATCCAGCCAATCCAACGACGCGTCTGTGCCAAAATGGTCGATATTTTGACCAATCATATGGCACTTGACGTGGCACCACCATCGACGTCGGGCGAGTCTTGGCAACACACGCCGAGGAGACGAACCCGACAACAACTTTGACGTAGCCTGTGTGATCGTACCCTACGTGCGACTGGTGCTTGTATCGAGTCTGCAATTTGACAGAGCTCCGTGCCGCATTCCCAAGTGCGAGGTACCAGACTCGGAATTTGGTATCTGGTGGCACCAGTTGTAGAACAGTCGCTCAACGTGGTCGCTCGTGCGGGAGGCTGATGCTCAGTCCGTCAATCCCTCGGGCTACCATACGAGAGACGACGGCCATTTTTGCCCATGGTGGAGCTCATTTGATGAGGTTGTTCATTGCAAGGTCCGTCGACATTGGCCAATCCCGCCATTGCAAGCATGCAATCGTCTGCGCCAAGGCCGCTGCAAGTACGACGAGTAGTGTCTTGTGATGGTCCATGGAACCGCGACCGAATGTCACTCGCTACGGTCGAGACGCCACGACGACGTCCATATCCAACAAGCAGACTGCATATTGCATTGGCCTTTCATACGACTAGATGTCGCGAGGCAGCACCCGCTGCATGCTTGTGAGGCAGTCCAGAATCGTCGCAAACGATGGCCGGTCGTCCTATATACACGCTATCAACGACCTCGTGTGAAAGGAGGCGACCGTACGGGTTCGTTGCGCCAGCACTGGCCGAGGAGGAGGCAGAGGTCGGTCGGGCAGCTCTCGGGAATCGCTGGGCGGAGGCCGTTCATAGCAACATTGCGCATCACGTCCTTGGAGCCCATGTCCGGGTACGGCTCGCTCCACGAGACGATCTCCCACACGATGATGCCAAAGCTGTAAATGTCGCAGCCCTCGGCAAAGCGATGGCCTTGCAGGATCTCGGGGGCGACCCAAAGCGGGCTCCCGCACTTGGTCATCGTCTTGGTCTCGTCCTAGGACATTCAATCAAGCGCTCGGCTCGTAGCCTCGCGACTACCTTGATGCGCGAGAGGCCAAAGTCGCCAATTTTGGCAACCCAGTGGGAGTCGACCATAATGTTGGGGCTCTAAAATATGACAATGTTGTACATTCGTCCAAGATGGCAAAACGAACCTTCATGTCGCGGTGGATCAGTGGCGGCGTCAAGCTGTGCAGGTAGGCCATGCCCCGTGCCATGTCCGCCGCCACCTGCCACGAGCAGGGTTAGGGTTTACTTTTGAGTGCACTACGAGTACCTGCAACACGCGCTTGTAGTGCTTGCCAACATTCTCGATGCGGCTCTCAGCGTGGTAGATATCAAAGAGACTGCCTTTGGCGAGGAGCTCCGTCACGAGGAAGAGATTCGGCGGCTGCGCGCTGCTCCCGAGGAAGAGGACGATGTTCGGGTGGCGGAGTTGACGCATGAGGTCGCACTCCTTGTGGAAATCCTTGAGCACTTTTTCGCCGAGCGCATTGAGGAAGAGCTAGAATGTCATAGTTGAGTGCTATGCGACATGTCGTAACGTAGAAAATACCTGTTTGATGGCCACGTCGGTGCCAAGCCACTTGCCCGCGTACACGGCGCCGTAGCTGCCGCCGCCAATCTTGGTACCAAGCACGAGCTCGGTCTCCTTGATGTTGAAGCATAAGTTGGCCATGAGAATGTCTTGGTCTTTCTGGCTCTGCGACTGGTTGCGGTCCCGCGGGTAGACAATAGCGTCGGCCATGGTCGCACCCTTGAAGAACGCAGGACACACCTGAAGCTCGATTGTGTCGACAATTAGATCAAAGTCTGGTCGGTCGGCCGGGCTCGGCGCCTAGCGCACAGAGTCTACCTTGCCTTCGACAGACTGTAGTACCCAGCACGCCTTCATGAGGGCCACGAGACCGTCGAGCTCGGACGGGATGTTTTCGAGCTTGGCATAATCGGTTGGGCGCCGGCCCTAGACTCAAAACTGAGTTTTGAGCTGAGAGTACCGATGGCGAGGCACCTTGGCGATAAGGTGTGGAATGCCCTGAATCGGGATCGCGGGATACGGCATCTCGCTCGTCAAGCACTCGAACATGATGATGCCCATGGCGTACACGTCGACCTTCTCCGTGAGGAGATTGTTGGTCGAGACCTCGGGCGCCATCCATGGAATACTCCCCATGGTATGCTGCGAGTCCATCATGTGCTTCTTCTTGAAGCGGCTAAGGCCAAAGTCCGAGACCTTGCAGCGCCAGTTCGGGTCCAGTAGCATGTTGAGGCTCTTGAGGTCGTGGTGAATGATCGGAGGCTTGTACTACATAACGCCATTTGAAAACTAGAAATTTGAGAATTGAGTGTCTACCTGGTGCAAGAAGGCCATGCCTTGGCTCGCGTCCAAGAGAATGCGCAGCAAAAGACTCCAATCCAACGAGATGCACTTGACGTGGAGGACGTCAAAGACCGAGCCGCGCGAGCAATATTCCATCAAAATCATGGGCGGGAAGAGACACATGCCCATAAACATGACAATATTCGGGTGCCGCAAGTCGGCCATGAGCGTCGACTCGACGGCCATGTCGCGAATGTACTCGTCCTTGACTTCGCCCTTGATGGTCTTGACCTAGATGCCATAGTGTCAAATAGACCATTTTTTCACAAGTGTATGCAACTTACGGCAACGATGGTCGACTTGAACTTGCCGCGCACGACTTCGCCGTGGGCGCCGCACCCAATCGTATCAAATAGCTCGACGTCGTT